ACCGACCCGAGCCCGGCCGGGGCGAACTTTGTGCCGCGGGAAGGATGCGATGCATTCCTCACCCGAGCATCGCCCGCCCTGGCATTGGCATCCGACTTTATTTTCTGCTGTTTTGTCGTCTTGTATAAAGCAGGCTGCTCGTTCTCACTAGATCAGGACAGCTAATTATCTTAATAACGTTCCGTCCCACAGGCGATTAAATGTCTCTCCTTCGATATCTGAAAGAGAAAGAACACTTTAAAGGGAAGGCTTTCTCTTTCTCCACCCCCACTTTCCTTTTTCAACGCGTAAAATTTTAGATCGTGCCTCTTACTAGCTGTGTGTGTACCTGCGAGTAATCTTTACACGGAGAGCTCTCTAGGGTACCCCTTTCCCAAGTCTGCAGTTTGCATGCAACTTGCACTGTGCCAAGAGAGGAGCTGAGCTTCTCTGTGAAGGCTCAAGACTCCCTTCCAAGAGAAGAAATCCCATAACAAATGAGTGATGTAGCCAGTTTACTGTCAGGCAGCCCTTGAAAACACAACTAATTAAAAGCAGCGTGCTCCTCCTTCCCCGAACAATGCCAGGGCACTGTGAATATTTCACCGCATGATGCATTTTTAAAGATGGTCTAATTGTGGGACTGCTTGACGTTTAGCTCTTGCACATGAAACAGCTCGTGTGAGTCCTCCTTTCCCAACAAATCCTGAGCAATTATTATTAACTAATTATCAAATATTTACTTTTGCCTGACTGGGTTTTCAATCAAAGTAATTAAAAGAAGAGAACACCCTCCACTTACACTGGTATATTGTTTTAATAAGGGACCGCAAGTGGAGTGTCAGGCAAGAGAGAGTATTAAAATTGCATGTTTTATGATGGAAGTTAATCTCTTTCCCAATATGTTTTGAGAAGGCTGCTTAATTTAATCAGGACGAGCTGCTTCCTCCGGTGCTGTGGCACAGGAGTGAAGGTGTTAGAGGCATGTGCCAAGTCCCGCTTGGGGATGCTCTGAGAGGTGCACTTGGCTCATCCCCTCAGCCCAGGTGAGGTGTGTGGGCAGCTGCCTCCCACATAAACCCATACTGCCACTCGTCCTGTACGTCTGAGGAGTGGGAAGGAGCCACCCCATGCTCATGTTGATCATTTCTCCCCATTAAAAGGAGTAGAGTGGGTTGCTGGGCAGAAACCTTCACCATGAGTGGTTAATGTGGTCACCAAGGCCATTAACCTCCTCTATAACCTACCAAGCTTACTAATGGCACCTTCACCTACATGGCAGTATTAGTGTCCACTAAATTAATTCATTAACCTTATTTAGAAGTAATGGTCCAAAGTCATTAGAAACTGCTCTTCCTAATCAAGTGTGAGAGAGATTGCACAGAGCCAGGGAGTCTAGCAGTCCACATTATCTTATTACACTGTCACTTTCCCAGAAGTCGCAGATTAAGGAGCGCTGGTGGTAGTGAGTCCACCTCAGCGTTCTCTGAAGTGACTCTGTCAAGTGACTAGAAGCAGCACTGCTTTATTTCAGGGGTTTAACAGATGCCAGACTCTGCCATGTTGTTTGCAGGGCTGGAGTGGGCTTAATGAGACAGGATCACTTTCCAAGTATGCTTACACGGGGAAGAAAAGGCAAGATTCCCTGAGAGCCCCAGACAGCGGATTAGCAAGATCACCAGTGACAGCTTTTGAGCTTTGAGCTGCAATGCCTTTTGTTCTGGTCAGAGGAAAACAGCCTGTTTTGCCAAGGCACAGTGGAAATATAATAAGATAGCCTTTCCCAGCAACGTGCTTAGCAGTATCTGGGTTTTGACCATACAGCTGAGTACGTATCATCACCTTCCCTGCTAAATTATGGCAAATAATTTCTATAAAGAGTGTTGCTTTATGCATTTTTGATGTGCATTTCCTCGTTCATTTCCATTTGACCTGTTTTTCCTACAATAAAATCCTGTACGTTTATAAATTCATGCTGAGAGCAAGGATTGCCATTTTGCTTTCACTGGGAATGTATTGGAGCACTGCAGCCTGTATATACTATCATTGAGGTGTAGTCTTGCTTTTTAGTGTGGACATTCTTCCTGTCCATAGTTTACTGTCATGTTTTATTGCTCAAAATTAAGCAATCAATGTGCGGAGAAACTTCTTCCTCCCTGAAAGTCTATAGAAAGAAATCCAGAGTAGTAAAAAACTGATAACACAAACCTGCACTGGGCAGTGAAGTGAGTGACTGTGTAGGTTGGATTTCTTGTCCCTTTTCATTTTTCCTATAAACCTTAAAATGCAACCCTGACAATGCTGTCCAAAGGAGCAAGATCCAGGATACCACATTTCACAGTTGCATTTGGTGGTTCTGGAAACTTTTGCAACTATTTTGCTTTCAGAAACAAATCTTTGTTGTTGTTGTTGGGGGGAGGAAGGGTCGGAGGGAAGAGGAAGGGATGTTGTTCTGCTCCATTACTTTGATGCAGTCTCCAAGCATGAACAAACTTCCTTGGAAGAATAGTGGATGATTTCTGCTTCACTAAAGCTACTTTGTTCTCTGCTGGCCTGGGTTTGAAGAGCACAGATAGTTTCAACCTGCCTAGATTTATGGACTGATAAAACAAAGGGAGGGTCTGCAGCAAATGAGCTTGGATCCACCAAGACAATCCCAGTGGTCAGTGACACAGACCAGGCTTATCCCATAGCTGGGCAGGGGGTCAAATGGCATCCCTTTACATCTCCTCCCAGCTTTTCTTAAAACTTCATACTTAAGAAGATTGTACTTTTTTGCAGATAACTGTGTCCCAGGTACCCTTCTGAACCAACACAAACGCCGTTGTGAGGATGCAGGGCCTTAAGACTGCAAGGGGGACTGTTGGAGCAGAGGGATTTAAAAAAAATACTGGTTGGAAACGGGTTCTTTTTGTTTCCTTCTGACTGTCCAGCCGCTGGACTTAAGGATGGGGACGGAGAGGAAGGCCACTTCCTTTCGGTAAAATGTAGCTAACACGCCTTTGCATTAAGGGATGAGGATGCAGCCTAAGTTAGCCTAAGGAGGCTGCGGAGCGTTCCCACGGCCGTCGGGTCGGCTGTGCCCGGCAGTACTGAGACGAGTCTGTTTGCTATCCCCTGCAGATAAGTGCGGCGACACCATCAAAATCTTAAGCCCTGGGTACCTCACCTCTCCGGGCTACCCGCAGTCCTACCACCCCAGCCAGAAGTGCGAGTGGCTGATCCAGGCGCCGGAGCCTTATCAGCGCATCATGATCAACTTCAACCCTCACTTCGACCTGGAGGATCGCGACTGCAAGTGAGTGCGGGCGCTGGGGAGCGCCACGGCGCCACCTGCCGGCCTGTCCGCGGAGCGTCCTTCGGGGGGACGGGCGGTGTGTGTGTCTAGGTGTGTGTGTCTAGGTGTGTGTGTCTGTCTGTGTGTGTCTGTCTGTGTGTGTCTGTGTGTGTGTGTGTGT